CCAAACCAACGAGTATCAGAAACAGAGATTCAGAAAATAAACCGATCGATTGGATCTGCGAATAGAAGTAGATACGCACCGTTGATTGGCTCTTCTCGGAAAAGGGACACATACTGATTTTTCCACACGGGAACAACTACACCTGTCCCTCTTCGTCATTTCCATAATAGAATCGCAAGAGAGAGAAGCGCGATGCAGTTTCTCTCACCAATTCTGTTCACCATTTCCAGGCTTACTGTGAAGATTCCCTCAAGAATAAAAGCGGGAATTGGAGAAAGAAAAAAGCAAAGTCACTTTGCACTTCAAATGAATAAAGCCATCACATTTAGCCATTGTGCAGCAAATGACAAGGATGGAGGTTGTACAGTAGTAAGTAATACACCTCCCCACAAATCTCGGCTCAGAGATGGTCCCAGCACCAGGCAATCATCGTCATCTTTTTTTTGTTGTACAAGCAGTACAAGTAGTCCTCAATACCTAAGATTGCTTCACTTCGCGGCTTTACAAGTAACGAGTGCGTTGTGACCCTCATAAGTGGCATTTCTGACGCCTGTCTAGTTGCCCCGCCCACCAAAAGTCGAAGGCTCAGAGGTTCCGTCACAAGTTCAGAGTCTACACGGCGTTTTTTGCTTTTTTCTATTAGACGGCATAAGCATTGGGTGATGCGAAGAAGCGATTAATGCGCCAGAGGCAGGCACCATATAGTTTTAGACCATCAAACAGCAGTTCTGCCGGTTCGTCCGAGAAGGCTACAGGTCCCTGCTTAGGGTGTCCATCAAGTTTCATTTGTTTTTCACTTCCCTGGAGTAGGGTTATTTAGCTTGTACTATATGCTTACAATTGAACACAGCTATCCACAATATACAGTCACGGAGTGTGTCTTCCTCCCCCCCCCCCAATATGAGCGATCGATGCCGATCGATTCTCGTCTGCGGCTGCGTTCGCGTCTATAGGATGGAGCGCTGTTGCAATGCGCGTCGTAGAGCATAGACGCGCGTCATCGCGAAGTCTAAAGCTTCCATTGTAGACGTAATAGACTGTCAGCCTGTCAATATGACAAGTGTGTTGGACCGGTTTTGTATCATGACGAGCTAGCGAGCTTTACAAGTCCTATAACCACAAACTGCGATAGCCCTGGACAAAGTCATGAGGAGAAGGCAGAATGCCCTCTACTCGAGTAGCCTCTGGGTCGACTCTGTGCGTATTCTCCTGAGTCGCAATTTCTACACATTCGCAAAGTACGAACGCGGTTAAACCTTCTCAAGTTGTAGCTCGCCTCCTCTAAATGGTACCAATTAGTAGAACGCCCACAACATGGGCACTTAACTATTTGAATTAAAGAGCGTGAACGCCAGTCGACGTGGGAACGTAGTTGGAGGGACCACTCGGCCAGCTTCCTATCCCTTCCCCTGGTGAGGCCGGCCCCCCGCTTTCTACTGATATTATTCCATCTTCCTTCTTTTGAGTTACCCTATCCATCTGAAAAGCCTAGGAAACAGAAAGGATTTCCTTAGAGTGAAAGGCAAAAAAACCACCTTCATCACTTTTTACAAGCTTCTATTTCATCAGTTCCTTTCTTTCCTTCTTTATTTGATTCAGCAAAGGTTACGTCTTCTCTTTAAGACTACATTTAGGCGATTCAGGTCGCGCGCACTCTTACAAGGGAGGTCGTTCAGGGCGTGGTGCGCTTTTCGAAAACGGTTTCCTGCATATTGTAGGGGCTCATGCAAGGACCTGAAAAGTGTGCTTCATTTTCGCTGCGCGCTTCCAGGAAAGGTAAAAAACGAGTGAAAAGAAATCTTTGGAATCTGCTTCGTTCTGGGCCTCTATACGGCGTAGCTCGCTTGCAACTTTGACCAGCTGCTGAGTGGGGGTCCTTATAAAGGGGCTATTTGAATCAAAGCGAAAAATCGCCGCAAGTGAGCCTCCCAACTTGGGTCACGTGCTCAAGGGTGAACGACTTTTGCAACAGTTTCATCAACGATTAGAGCGCTACACAGATTCGAGCATCCATCAATGGCCTAGTGGATAGAGTGGAGGTCTCGCAATCGGACAGTGAGGGTGGGGTTGATGGTTCGACTCCCCTTGCGTCGCGGCTTTTTGCATTTTTTAGATTTCGCTGTTCTCGCTTCCATTAGTGTCTGCGCTGCATATAACTCGGATATTTGCCATTTATGGGCACATTCTGAGAAGCTGTACCTCATGAGTCAATGGTGCTATTCAACTATTTCGATTTTCACGCACCACTGAACAAGAGTGTTGCTAGACGTTGATCCTCATAGGCTATACAGTGGATCTGATTGCGAATTTAGCAACTTCTGGTGTGGTGTCAATTATAGACAATTTGGGGCCACATCTTCTTTCCACTGAATTCGTTATGTACACCAATATAGGGAACGTTCAGCGCTATTCTGTCGCCAAATTGCGTGGACGCCAAGAATAGGTGTTATATTTGTGATCAGGGCCACTGGTTACCACTAAAAAACGAATTTCAAGGTCAAACATGTTTTGACCTTCTTGGGTTTACTGATTGGATTTTCCGGGGTCCGTAGCATCAACGAATACGCATCGCTGAGATCGCGAAGATGTGAGACTTCGCTCAAATTGCTGACCAAACGATCACCTATTAGGTTTTCGGGAAAGTTCTGTCATGAATTCTTGAAACCAAGTATTCGCCGATTACCTGAAGAGGGCTAACCGGTAATGTGAGCATTTACACATTAAGGACTGATCGGTGCAATTGAAAACGTGATCGGTGCAACTGAAAGCGTGCGCATCGATCGTCGAATCGCGCGATCGGAGCGCTGCCGTCGCGAAGTATGAACGCTGCCTTAGTGTAACTGGCTCGGCTCCTGCTCATCCTTATTCTGCATAATGGACAATAATGTTATCCGCTACCTTCAGCACCGACCCCTTCTTCAAGCGCTTCCTTAATATCTCTTCTACCACCCTGGCAGCCGTCGACGCCAGAATAATCTAGCTGCACAAGGACAATGTCTACAGTAATCAGTCAATCTTCCACGATGCTAGCTCTTCAGAGCGGGAGCCTACGGTTCGAATGACGAAGTGAGGTTCGGGAGTACCTGTAAACTCAGGTCTAGATAGCAGTGGATCGGGAAACTACTGGATGAAAGAAGCTGCCTCCTCGGTCAATCCGTACGCAAGGCAGCTACGAGATCTGAAGCGAATCGTCAAGCAGAGGGCAAAATCCATCGGCACAGTCCGTCTTCAACGTGCTGGTGCAGCACACCCCGTCAAAAAAAGTTCGAGCCGTACTTCATGCAATAGAGCTGGATGGCTCTCCCCTTGCACCAATGTAGTCCAGACATTGCTTTTTCTGACATGCTTGTCGCCTCCCTATTCAATCAAACCGTTACAACAGCGAGAAAACCTCCACGACCTTGAGCGCCCAAGTCAAAGTTGAGATGATGTCCAACTTTGCGTCGCGCCGGCGTGCATTGTTAAGCGATGGCATCCACGAACTGTCCAAAAACTGGCAAGGATCTCTCAATAACATTGCCGCTCTTGTACGCCTCTCTGCCAAAAGAAAGTCTAATTTGAAAAAATGATACGGAACTTTCCCGCCAACCTCATGCAACAGAAAAAGTCAAAAAAATTTTTTGCTCAAAACTTGCTCCTAGGGGTAATTGGCAGTCCTGATCATGATTCTAAACTCCAGTGCCATCTGGCACCGGCATAGCGCCGAAGAGCTGAGTCTGTGCATACAAACGAATTCGAACGAAAAAGCAGTTTTGCTCCATAAAAGTAGGATTGTTCAGTTTATCGTGAATGTTTTCGCAAAATTATTTAGAAACATGGATCCAAAAAAGGAAAAACTGTAAGAAAAGCAAAAGTTTTGTCCTCGGTGGGATCTAAACCATCGACCTATTTTTTACGTTTTTTTTATTCGTAGAAGCGCGCAGCGAAAATGAACCTCAGTTTTGTGGTCCTCGTACGTGCCCCTACAACATGCACAAGACCATTTTGAAAAAGCTCACCATGTCCTGAACGACCTCTCATGTTAGCCCTAGCCCTTTTGAAGGGATGCAGA